TAAGATGCGTGCCATACTTAGTGTGAAGGAGTTGCAAGCAGGAGCTGCCCATTCAGTCCCTGCCCTTTAGATAAAGCAGAACATTCAGTTCCAAGGATATCTTACAGGGCAACAACAGAAATGCACAGTCAGGGGAATTGCAGATAAGGGCTCTGAGTTAAATTGAAAAAAATTATTATGAAAAAGGGCCTGGGGACACCCGGGTGGCTCAGCTGGTTAAGCAGTTGACTCTTGGTTTTGGCTCAGGTCATGATCTCAAGGTCCTGTGATTGAAAACCCACAACGGGCACCACGATCAGTGGGGAGCCTGCTTTAGGATTCTCTCTCTCCCTCTGCCCCTCCCCTCTCTCTCTCTCTCTCTTTCTAAAATCAATAAATCTTTAAAAAAGAAAAAGGGTCAGGTATCATAGACATTCTTTGAGGCTTTAGAGTCAGACAGACTGGCTCCAACACTCTATAATCCTAGCTGAATTCCAGAATTCTAGTTTATTAAATGTGTGTGTGTGTGTGTGTGTGTGTGTGTGTGTGTGTAAAACACTTCCTTGATGAGCAATCTTGACAAGTCTTTACAGACCACTGGGGTTAAGATCTGCCTCTATGATTTTCGGTACTAAGACAGCTGGATCAGCTTGAATGATCCCTCTAATCCCAGAGCCTACTAAAGTGTGTGGTACATACGGATTTTCTGACTTTCATCCCATTGCCTATGTTCAATAGCTTCCAGGACGAGTGTATTGCGGACCTCCTGCCTCCTAATCCGTGTTGGCCTTTCTAATAATCTTTCAGTTTCCGAAATGTCCTCTCGGTGGGAGAAGTTTTGAAATTCCCCTAGGCTTTACAAATACAAAGTGATGAATATACAGAAATCACACCTGTAAAGAAATTGAACTGGAGAAATTAATTAATAAATACAAGACTGGTCATGTGATTACTGTTTTGGTGAAAATTATAAATTTCAGGGACATGGGATCACGTCTGTGAGTGCCCAGAGTCTAGAATTTTCAGGTACAGGCATACACATTCATAGTCACGAGGACTCAGTTCCCCTGATCGGACTCCTGTTCCTATTGCCTCTGTTCTTCCTCAGTCCAATTCTTTGTCTCCTCTTCCCCTTTCCCCCTCCTGCACTGCAAATGTATCTTGTGGACACTTCTAATTCACAAATTATATTCCGTTTTTGCTTGTTTTCCTGTGAGGCACTTAAGTGCCGGGACCATGATTTGTTCTTTGCACATCCAGTATGAAGCAGACTACAGGACACACGGGAGGCATTGCTGAAGGTTTGCTGAAGTCATCTATTTCATAAAGAAACACTGACAGCAAGAACACCCACTTCCAGTGTGCAGGTGGTACAGATGTCTCCTACATCACTACCATATTTGTGGCTTTTGAGGATCAGGTGCCATGTAAGCCCTTCTAGAAGCTAGGAGGTGTTGGAGGAATAGAAATCTGGTCCATTTGTCCATGTGCCTCTACATAGCACATAGCATACTTTTCAGCACACAATATGGCTTACAGCAACAATTCCTAGGACTTAGTCATGTATGTGCGTTTCCATATCCACCACCCTGACTACAGTGTTATAAACTTGGTATTTCATGGAAAGGAAAAGCATTATTAGCGAGAGCAAAACTCTAAAAGTAAATAGAGTGATAACAAAGCAATGGTAGAGAATATTTTAATTTACGTTGGAGGACTTTCAAAAACACAGGTATTTTTTTAAAAGATTTTATTTATTTATTTGAAAGAGAGAGAGCGCGAGCACACAGGGGGAGAGAGAGAGGGAGAAGCAGACCCCGCTGAGCAGGGAACCTGATGTGGGGCTTGATCCCAGGACTCCGGGATCACGACCTGAGCCGAAGGCAGACGCTTAACTGCGTCTGAACCACCCAGGCGCCCCTCATTCTTTTTTTAATGTCAGTATACGCTGGCCAATGCAGGCAATGGATTGTGACAGCAGTCCTAAATCTCAGCTCTGCCACTTTCTAGCCATGGGTCAGGGCCAACGTATCTATCCTTCTGGGCCTGAATGTCCTCATCTGTGAAACTGGAATAATGGTACTTATGTCATAGGAATTTTATGAAAGTCATCAGCAAAATATGCAAAATACCTGAAACATGGTAGGCCCTCAAAGAGCTTTTATGATCTCTTCTGATACAGTAGTTAAAAAACAAACAAAAAACCACGTAGGATTCCTCTATGAGGATTTTGGGAATTACATACATCAGGAAGTTCATCCAGAGCAACAAATCTAGGATGCTTCTTTTGAGATGTAGGCTGCTAGAAAAAGCTATTTGGTCAAAGTTAAAGTGCAGTTCAGAAACTAAGAGTCTCATTGGTATCCTCTACTAGGAGATTTACCACTGGATTTTGAGAGAACTTCTCAAAAAAACACTAATTTTCAAACTTGCCTTGAAATAGGTAACCCAAAAGAAGATGGAAAACAAGAAAAGGAAAAGCTGCCTTCCTATCAATCTCAAATTCCGGAGAATAATGCCTGGCTCAGAACCTTTGGTCATAGCTACTCTACCATGGTGCTCACTAATGTAATGGTGCATCTTTCCAGAACAGGCTGATGTTATTGGGGGGTACTCGAAGCTTTTACTGTGAAAGAAGGAACGCAGCCATTTTCCTTTTCCCAAATTGATACCAAACATCGGTTGTATGTGCCTTGTTGTCTTTGTCTAAGGAGCCTGTGAAATGTGTGGAACAGCTTGGTGGCCCTGAGAAACCTGTCTTGCCTCGGGGGGAACTGGTCTCATGGTGCCTGGGCCCGTGGGTGCGCAGCGTCATTGACAAGTGAGCGATCTTCCCTCCTGGGGAGGTTTGATGCCTCAGTGGAAGGGAAGGGCATCCTGCCAAAAACAGGATTCTCACACAAGGAAACCAGCTCTGCAACGAAGGACCCTCCTCAGGATCCACAATCATCAAAAGTCATGAAGGACTGGTAAATAACAATTACTCTATTCCTTCACAAGGACTCCAAACAGTCATCTTTCCTCTGCCGCAGCCAGAATCAGTGTCGGATATATCAACATTGGGCCAAAAGAACAGGGGAAAGATCTCTGGGATGAAGAGCTTCTGAAACGGTGGGAGACAGGATGAGACAGTGGAGAGCTGTATCAGTGGAAAATGGAAGGGGAAGCAGACAGGACTGCTGGGGGCAGGTTAAGCGGGGTCAGCCTACACTGCAGACTTTCTGGGGTGTTGTCATCAGTGAGCCCTGAGTTTCCACCTCATGTATCTACCTACCAGCTTTCAGATCCTGGGCAATTTCCACGATGTCCTTGATCTCAATATCCTCCTCCCTTGTGAAATGGGAATGACAGTATTTCCTTGAAGCATTCTTATTAGGACTAAATGAAACATCGATGAAGAGCCTAGTGTAGGGCCCATCATTATGTGCACTATTACTTCACATGAGCCTCAACATTTATTTCAACCCTGTCAGTAAATTGCTTTCATTTTATCTGTTCGATCATTTAACTAGGTTTTATTCCCAAAGACACAGCTTTATTTTAATATATATTATGTAAATTATGGTACAAGTCCTGCACAGATCAAGTCATCAGGTGATGAATGGCTATTCGAAACACCACTCTAAATCCTGTTGTGCAGGAAGAACAGTGCCAGCCCTAGGACGGATCCACAAAAGGGAGTCAGACTTCAGCCCTCAAACATCTCCCAGCTGACTAGCAGAGCTCGCATGGCAGCTGATACATACATGGTGCTGACACCGACAGGACCTCCTAGAATAAGCGCAGTCTGGAAACAGAATGTTTTCCCTATCAGTGTCACTTTCAAACGATTAACTAATCGATTCAACAGATATGCAGCAATGCCTTTCCACCTGTATCAGAAATTGATCTGGATGGTGGATTGACAAAGACCAAGGAAACATGGTCCTTGCCCTCAAGGGTGTCACAACGCAGCAAAGGAGACAGACATGTCCATTCCATCAACAGATGTGGTCTGGATGACTACAGTGTGTGCTCAGCTATGTTCTGGGCTGCTTCACATATATCAGTGGGCAAGAGACAAAGATCCCTAAGATCAAGGAGCTTCTATTCAAGCAGGAATTATGATGGGGGGGTGGGGAGAGAAATAAGCAATAAGCATAACAAAGAAGTAAATAACATAGTCTGGCACGTGATAATTCAGGCCAAGGTAAAGGGGATCAGGAATATGGGGTGGGGTGGAAAAGGGGAGTGCACTTAGCAATATATAATAGGGGGTGGCGGGGGCTTGTAGACCTTCCTGAGGATTTAGCATTTGACTCTGACACATGAACAGAAGAGCACTAGAAATGGTTTAGGTGCTGAATGAGAAGTATGTACGGGGACAATGTCAGTGAAAAGGAGAGACACAGCAGTCAGGGAACTAGAGGGGGTGACCAAAGAAGCAGAAGAAATCAAGGAGTGCTGCCTCTTGGAGAGAATGGAAGCACTCACCTAGACTTGAGATCCACTGAGCTTTGTGTTCACACCCTGGGTTGCACAGCTGTGCCATGACTCACAAAATCACAAAAGTAAAAGGCCTGTAGTCACCCTGTGATTCACTCATTACTCAAAGGGAAAAACTGGAGACATACTCTGCTCTGATCACTTTGTATTGGGGAAGATTTTACTGAATTATCTAGTATAGATGCCCTACGGAGCCAGTTCTATGATGGAGGGAAAAACAGAGTATCTAAGATACACAAAGAAGCAACGAATTGGGGGGACATGTGCAGAGTGATTTGAAAGACACAACCCACCCCACTTCCGCAAGTGAAAAGATACACGGAGATGCCTCTGTTCACCCATCTTTCATTTTATATCACTACTAAACCATTAACGGGTACAATAATCACTGGCCGTTGATCCATGGAGTTTCCGTCATACTCTTACACTCAAACAATATATTTTGAATCCTTCCTGGACACCAAGTTCCAGGCACTGGGCTGACTCAGGGAGAATAAGCATGTTTCAGGCTGGCGCCCAGCCTTTGACTGACTTACTTGCTTACAAACATGCTGGCCAATCATTACAGAGCTCCTTGATTCGAGCGACGACAGAACTAGTGTCAAGGGATCCTGGAAAAGAAAAAATGAGGGGGGTAACTGAGTCCCAGTGTACGGGGAGCGTGAGCACCCGTGGTCAGGAAAGCCTTTTCAGGCGAGGGGAGGTTAATGAGGTGGGTACTTTTAGAATCCCCATGTTACAGAGGAGAAATAATACAGTCAGAGATATTCCCTTGCTCCAGGCTGCAGAACTACTCGAGAGAGCCAGATTGAAATCCTAGGTCATGTGGTTTGCAAAACACGGTATTTTCTCTCATTGACTACTACTAAAATCACTTCACCTGACTGTTTCCCTTTACTAGATCCTGAAATCCTCTCAGGTATGTTGCGGTCACTCTCCCGAAAGCTGGTTCCAGCTGTGAGTGCTAAAAGGCTCTGGGAAGTTCTGTAACATTCTCTATCCCAGGTAACAGCTGTCTGGAGAGCTCCTCTCTCTTAGAATTGTAATCCACCATCTCACCTAAGTCAGGGGCTCGACGTCCCACGAAGATGCTTCTAATGTCACTGCGCTGTCACTTTCCAATCTGCCTGTTCCTGCCTACTCTAGAAAAAAGGCAGAAACATGTATCAGACTTGCTGGTCTCACAGCAGTTCCCCTCAGCATTAGAACATTCCACAGAAGCTATGTTCTCCTGGGTGCCTGGGTCTTCCCGGTAGTAAAAAAAAAAAAATGAGAAAGGAAGACGTCTGTACCACAGGAATGGCATGTACCGTGCATGTCAGCAACTCTCAACATACACGACATGTCTCAGAGAGAAAGGAAGAGGATTACCTTTGGAGTCCCACAGACCAAGGTGTGAACCTCAGCTCCCTCACTTACTGTCTTACTTAAGCACATCTCAGCCTGTTTCTTAATCTGTTGAAGGGGATTCTGATACTCATTGTTCAGGTTTGTTGGTAGGTAAATATTAAGTGCGTAAAACCAATCAGACCATCAATAGCTCAAAATCAATGCCTAGAGTGATGACAAAACAGAATAACTTCTCTACTGCATCACTTAATTCCATTTTATGTGTGCAGAAGATACTGAACTTCGCGTTCTCAAGTAACATGCCCAGGTGACACACTTGACTGATGGCCGTGAGCTAGGCACTCAGGTGTTCTTTTCACTAGATTGTGAGGAGAAGAACATCCAGACGGAAAATACCTTTCTTTGAACCCAGTGACTCTTAGCAAATGAACACCTTACGTAACAAGTCAACTCTGAACATCATTCAAAAAAAATTGACACAACAAACCATAGCTCTTGATAAAAATAATCCTTTTGACAAGACACGGCGATGTTGGGAGAGCACAGGCTGTAGAGACATGAAGACCTGAAATCACATACAAACTCCACTCTAAGTCTTCTCTTCGATGAACTGCAAATAGTAACCTCCTCGTTAAGACTTAATGGGCTGTTCAATAGGATGCAGGGATCAACACAGGCCTTGGCACACAGACTCTACTGGCCAAATACCTCATGTCTTAACCTTATCCCTTCCCTTAAGACTCCAGGGAAAGTTCACAGTCAACCTTTGCAAGCAGAGGTTACATTTCTGCCATGAACAGTTATTTTCTCGCTCTCCCATTTTTGGTTGGATTTTGATGGGTGGCAGTTACCGGTTGTGCCAGCCAGTTTTTGATGCACAACAAACCATCCAAAATGTAGTGACTCTAAGCAACCAATTCTTTTGCTCACAATTCCGCAGGACAATAATCTCAGCTGGGCTTAGCTGAGAGGTCCTTTTGCTGTTCTCAGAAGGCTTGCTTATGCATCTGTAGTCAGCGCCCCTGGCTCTGCTCTGGGGGCTGGATGGTCCACGACGGTCTCACCCACATTCCTGGCAATTGGTTCACTGTCAGCTGTGGTGGAGGGGATGCATGGGCCCTGGGTCTCTCATCATCCACCTAACCCACGCTTCTTCACATGGTTGTTCTCTTGTGTCAAGAGCAGCAAGAGAGGGCAAACCCTGGTGTGCAAGCACTTTTCAATTCTCTGCTTGCTTCACACTTGCTAGTGTTCCAGTGAACAAAGCAATTCCATCGCCAAGGGCAATGTGGGAGGAGATACAGGCAGGCACAGTGCAAAATACAGTTGTTACTGTAACAGTCTACTGTTACACTAGTTTGTGAAATGACCCCGTTCGTCATTAGAGAAATACTTAACTATGGGTGAACCAGACAGGAGAATGAATGCTAGTCTCTCAAAAATGACTTTTACTCTTCCGTAGAAAAAGTCATAGCTATCTTGCCCTGTTATCAGTCTACTAGGTGAATAATAAAATTATTTTATGAAATTCTGCCAAAAAAGACCAGTTTGAAATTTCCCTGGCATTGTACCATACCTGTAAATTGTGGATCCCCTCATCCAGAAATGTGCCATGACTCTGCCAGCAGGAATCCAGCCCGCACCTCTTTCCGTATCATAATGTTGCTATTCCTCTCCCTTCCAAAGAATATGCCCCCAGCAGAGACCTACTGCATAGGCATCATCTGATGGGGAAGTGATGGCCTAGACTAGGAAGCGGCCCCTCTGGTAAGACGAGGACAAACTCCGTGCTAACTGTAGACTTGTGATGTGGCTGGGGCCTGGTTGGGCCACTCCTCCCCGCAGTCACCAGCCCCACTTCCCAGCTTTGCTAGAGTTCCTCTTGATTCATCCAAGCCATCTTTCCAAGCTGAGTCCGAGCTCTATCATTTTCGACTCCAATGTCCTAACTATATTGTTCAGGATCCCTTGGTATTTTATTTACTGTGTGGTGGTTGATATCGCTACTGTGGAGGCCATCATTCCCCCATTATATTTTCTATGTGATTACTGCTGGCATTGCTGCTTTAAATATTAATACTTCCTTCTACCATTGAAGGGAATTCATTTTTACTCATTTCTTAGGCTTTTCCCAAGAAGATATTCATATCATTTGGAAATAATGAAAATTTTGTCTTCTTTACTAAAACAATGCTTTTTTTTCTCTTTACAATCTCCTTACACTGGAAAGACCATCTAAAGCAAAAGTTAGTAATACTGGTGATAATAGGTACATTTGCCTAGATCCTGATTGTAATGGAATTTTTTCTAGTCGTTTAACATCATTTGCGTATTTGTATATTAGACACACTGAGGAATACAGCCTGTAAATATCTACGTTCCTACTTTGTTTTTAATTGCAGGCTGTCACATTCCATCAACTGTTCTTTGATCATCCATATACCATTAAAATATGGTCAACACTAGTAGTATCTCTAGTGGTTGAAGTCATTCTCTCTATGTCTCCACTTTATCATTTTCTTCTTATGCAACCCACACATTTTCGTCCTATTATCCTCTAGATATTGCACGTGTCTGTTGCCACTGGGAACAGGATCGTTTTTATGAGCTATTCTGGGTAGACATGGAGGAGAGCAGACCCTGGGAAGCTGATCTCACTTGTTATTTAAGAATTGGGCTGTTGGGGCGCCTGGGTGCCTCTAGTCGGTGGTTGCTTGATGCCAGCAGAGGGCCTGTGGGGAAGAGAGAGACAAAGATGCCTAGGCTGCAGTATGGCAAAAGTTAGGGGACATCAGAGGTCTTCTCTATAAGGCTACTGTTAGAGCAGGGAAACAGTAAGAAAAAATGAAAAGGTGAGGGAAGGCTTTTGCTTGTTAACTTTTTGGCTGTGATGGGCCACGTCCTGGCCAAGAGGACAGCATGACCAAACAGAGAGGTGGTGAGAGAGCACCAAGTGGCCTTGCTGGAGTCCCACACCAGGAGCCTCGTTAAGCATCAGACTGAGAAACATGAAGGGATTTCTATAGGCATGTCTTCCAAAACCCGAAGCAGTACCTATCAATGAGAAAGAGAGAGAAGGGTGGAAGTGTGTGGAGGGTGAAGATTGTTGGGACTTCATAAAAGGCAACCTGGGTAGGTTCTGCAGCTGTTGGGTGAATAGGACTCCAAGTGCCAAGGGCTGAAAGAAGTAGGCGAGAAGTTTACTCTAGGAAACTGAGGAACAGAGGTTAGGTAAGAGGTCAATAGGAGTTCAAGAAAAGTGTTAAGTTATGGGCTGTGCCAACATGCCCAGCAAGGCCAAGAACCTGCCACCCCGAATCAAGGAAACCTCATTTAGTATATGTGCTGCCGAAGCGAGCACAAAACCTCATTTAAAATGGAGTTGGGTGGCTAGCTGGGGGACCTCTCATGCCCTTCCACTGCAGTTAACTGCAGACCCCAACAAGGACAAAGGGTGCCTGGCATTCCCCCCAGGAAGCAGCTTACTTTCCTACTCCAGCAGGAGGAAGGAAGAATTTCTCCTCGCCCAGCAACAAGCTCAGCCAACAGGAAAACACCACAACGGGGCCCATGAGAAAAACATCAGCACCTCGAACGGTCGCTCTCCTCCAATGGACATTTCCTTCACAGCAATCTCTCCCAACTGCCTCCTTTTCCCTAGAGAAGAAGGTTCCTCTGGTCTGATCTCCAGACTGGCCTATGGGGTGCCATACTTTGCCTGCCCCAAACTGCAATTCCTCTGCTACACCCAAATCAACCCATTTTGTTGATAAACTATAACCGGCTGTTTCACCTTTTAGGTGGACAAACCTGTTCAAGAACTAAAAGGGTATGATATGACTCAGCAAAGATTAGGTACCGTTTTGCCAAGAATACTGAGGATCGTTTCGACAACCCCGGGCCCTCCTAAACATAAGGCGGTAGCATTCATTATGGGCAATGATGATGCCCTCGACCTTACCGCCTGTAAAATAAGGGTATGTGTTTCATACAACCTGCCGGGGAGGATGAGGAGAAAGGTCTGGCCACGCCACAGCCAAGTGCAACTCAAGGGCCCACGTGGAAGCGATCTTGGCCCCGGTCACAATGCGGGAATTGACCTCCGCGTGGAAAGACATTTCCAGCCTAAGAGGTGCGGGGCGCCTGCGCAGTGGGCCCAAGGCGCCGCGCGCGCTGCGGGAGCCGCGAGACCCCCGCCCCCGCCCCTCGCCCTGCAACGTGAACGCGCACGTGAATCGGGAGGCGGACGCGGACGCGGACGCGCACGCGAATGCG